GGAGGCATCACGGCGGAAGGATGAGAGGGGTTCAAAGCTTTGATGTGGTCCCATGATATGGGACCTGTGGCGGGGATGTAGTGATCGAATAAACGACGCCAAAAGGGTTGAATGAATGGACATGAGAAGAAAAAATGCTTGTCATCCTCAATGGGTTGTAAACCAGGAATGTTGGCTGATTGACAGATATGACAAAGTGGTGAAGGGGCGATGGTGGGAGCAAGGTGATGTAGACGTGCTCGACATGGTATTCGAAGGTGATGGAGGCGCCAAAGAACCGTAATGATGCGATGTGGGAAAGGTGCAGACCAAAAACGTCGCCATTCGGATTTTGAAGCACGTGGATAGCTGCTGGGAAGTTGGTGAAAAGGAATCAAGAGGCTGTAGCGAAATTGTTTGCGGGTGAAAGTGACAAGATCCAGACCAGTGTGAGTTGTGCGAGCCAAAAGTCGATGGAATGCGTGATCAAAATAAGGTGATGGTGTTGAGGAATACGGAAAAAGTAACAAACGCCGAAAACAAACTTTGAGACTCCATGCACCATGTGTGTCAATGTCCTTTAAAAAGGTGACAACACGATTCCGATTGGAAATGGATCGACGTTCCGAAAGGGTACGAGCACGACAACGACGTAGTTGTGGATCAAGAACGTAAACATCGCGAACCAGCAAGTTCCTCCAACTAACCTTTGGAGGCTCATCATTAGGACCATCATAGGTGCAAACCTTCAGAAGAGGAAATTCAAAGACGGTGTGAAGGGAGACTTGATTCCATTTGATGTTAAGTTGTAACTTGTCAGCAGCTTGAAAGAGCATCTTGAAGTGGCCCAAAGATTGAAGAAGGTGAGTACGACGTTCAGGGAAAAGGATGGGAATGATGGGGGAAAAGGTGTCACAAAAAAATTGTAAACAGAAGCGAAGGTAAGGATCAGCAAGGGTAGGGGGATACAATGGGTTGTCACAAGAAAGGAGGGGGAGCAACCAACGAAGTTGTAAAGCTGCTATATGATGTTTCGGGTTAAT